TTGTTAAGGTGCCCATACTTTCCAGATTGTCCTATAGATTCAGTGTGATTCTTATAAAAAATCCAGCTTGATTTTTTTCAGAAACTAACAAATTGATTCTAAAACTAATATGGAAATGACCCAGAAAAGCCAAAACAATCTTGAAAAAGAAGAATAAATTTGGAAGACTCACACATCCTGACTTAGCACAAGTCTGTAATAATCAAGATGTACAGTATGGACATAAGTAGAAATATATAGATCAATAGAATAGAATTGAGAGTCCAGAAGTAAAGCATTAAATTTTTGGTCAATTGATATTTTATAAAAGTCTCAATATAATTCAATGGGGGAAAGAATAGTCTTTGCAACAAATCATGTTTGTATAGCAAGTTATCCACATGCAAAAAATGAATCTGGACCCCTACCTCATACAGAAATTAATTCAAATAATAGGCCTAAATGTAAGAGCTAACACTATTAAACTTTTAGAAGAAAACATGTGATTAAATCTTAGTAACCCTTTACTAGGTGATGTTTTTTGGATACAGTACCAAATCATGAGCAATAATAGAAAAAAAAATAAATTGGACTTTATTAAAAGTAAAATCTTTTGTATTTTAAAAGATATCTCATGAGAATGAAAAGACACGCCACAGAAGAAAAAAAATACTTAAAAATTATGTATCTGTTGAAAATGTTTATAGAGAATACTTAAAGATCTTTTACAAGTCGATAATAAAAAGACAAAAAACTAGATGTCTCTCCAAAGAATATATACAAATGTCCAGTAATCACATGTAAAGAAGCTTAATCATTAGTCATTACAGAAAATGCAAAAACTATAATGAAATACTATTTCATGCCTACTACGATGGCTGAAATTAAGAAAAAGAAAAGTCTTGACAATGATATGAAGAAATTGGAACACTCATATATTGCTGATGGGAATGCTAAATTATGCAGACACTTTGGAAGTCGTGTAGCAGTTTCTCAAATGCTAAACATGCAGTTACCATATGACCAACAGTTTCACTCCTTGGTATGTACCCAGAAGAATTAAAAACATATGTTCACACAAAAACTTGTACACATATGTTCATAGCAACATTATTCATATTAGGCACAACTAGAAATGATTCAAATGCTCACCAGTTGATGAAACCAAATGTGGTACACCCATAAAATGGAATATTATTTGGTCATAAAATGGAATGACGTGTGCTGCAGCATGAATGAGCCTTAAACACATTGTAAATGAAAGAGGCCACATGTCTTATGATTCTGTTTATAGTAAATGTTCAAAACAGGAAAAATCTTGGGAACCAGCAGTTAGCGTAATGGCTATGTCACTGGACTCCCACGTAGTCGATCGTGGTTCGCGTCCTGGACCCGGTGGCTTAAAACTCACGCCGGGCGCATGTGCGTGTGTGCCCAAGATCCCGAGAGGAGAATGGAGGAGAAGGGATTGCGGCGTGACCATCCCCCCTGGGGGGTGATTTCTCGCTTTCTGTCTCTATGTCTCTCTCTGTCTGTCTGGCGAGCTCACACGCCCTATAGCAAAAATCTCTCCAAAAAAAAAAACAGGAAAAATCTTTAAAAACAAAAATGTACCCATAGTTGTCAGGGACTGTTGGGGAAAGGTAGAATGGGAGTGACTACTAATGAGTATGGGATTTGGGGAGAGAATGATAAACAAAATTCTAAGCTTAGATAACAATGTAACATTCAATGAATATAATGAAAACGGCTGAATATACTCTTTCAACGGGCAGATATTATATTAATTATATTTTAATAAAGATACAGTAATAAAAAAAAAGGTGTCGAAGTCCCAACCAACCCTTCAGGTGGGTGTAGCTGCAGCTCCACAGACATTGTCACTGCAGCCACATGAGAGGTTTCACCCAGAAGTGCCAAACCAACCCAATTCTACATCTTTGACTCATAGCAACTATTGGAGATGATACATGCTTTTATTTTTTCTTTCCTTTTCTTTTCTGTTTTCTCTTTCTTTTCTTTCCTTCTTTTTCTTTTCTTTTCTTTTTTTTTTTTTTTTGCTATAGAGCTTGCATACTCACCAGAGAAAGACAGAGAGGGAGCATGAAAAATCAACCCCAGTAGGGGATGGCCACACGGCGATCTCTTTTCCTCTGGATTTTGGACATGCATGCTCACAAGTCCAGCATGTTTTTCTTCTTTCTTTTGCTCTTTTTTCCTTTTTATAGAATACTTTTATTTTAATCTCTTACCTCCCCCCAACCCAATTCCACAAGTCAATAAGAGCTAAAGGAATTATGTGAGAACTAGGAAGATACAGTCTTCGCTCTGTATCCATGAGTTTCACATCCACCAATTCAAGCAACTGTATATTAAAGACATTTGAAAAAATAAAATACAACAAATAATAAAAACAAAAGTACATCAACTATTTACATGGTATTTACATTGTATTAAGTATAATAATAAGTATTTAAGTATTCTAGAGGTGATTTAAAGTATATAGGAGTATGTATATAGATTACATGCAAATACTATGCCATTTTATTTATTTATACACACACGAATATGTGTGTGTATGTGTATATATATACATATATATATATAATATGTGTGTATATATATACATATATATTTTAGAGAAATTTTTGCTATAGGGTGCATATGCTCACCAGAGAGATAGAGACAGACAGAAAGTGAGAAGTCACCCCCCAGGGAGGATGGTCACACAGCAACCCTTCTCCTCCACTCTCCTCTTGGGATTTTGGGCATGCATGCACATGCACCCAGCATGAGTTTTATAAGCTGCTGGGTCTAGACTAGAACTGTGGTTGACTATGTGGGAGTCCATTACACCATCTGATCCCAATACTATGCCATTTTATAAAATGAGCTTCAGCATTCATTAGTTATGTTATCCACAGGAACAAGGGGGACCCTAAAACCAATTCACCATAGGTACCAAAGGGTGGCTGTACTTCTTTAAAATTATGTGTGTGTATGTGTGTGTGTGTGTGTGTTAAAAGAAAAATACCACATACCTCACAGTGAAAGTCTAAACACAGTTATCCTGGTGTGTTTTTTCAAGCCACCAGGTCCATTCTCAAAAGGCACAGTCAGCCATGTGGGATTCAGCACCTTGACCACTGTGCCACCTGCTGGCCCAAATGCTTTATTTACAATCTATTTATTATACAGCATTGGGAAACTAATAATATGATTTGTGTGTTATGTGCTTAATACATACAGAAATAGACAAAAGTTGACACCTATGTAAGTGACATGGACAAGAAAAGTTAATGACCTTAGTAAAATGAGGTTATCAAATATCCCGACATAAATGATAGTCACAGATTTAAGTATTTTGTTAAATTTATATAACTATTTTTGTAATCTGCCCAATCTTGTATCTTTTCATCTGTAAGCATATTTAACGACCTTCAGAATATAAATGTTTAAAAACTTTTAAAGACATTTACCTTTTAATACTTGGTAACTTAAACCTTGAATTATTTTTAGATTTATTGGTTTTCTTTCATTTATTCATGGAGAGGAGGAAAATGATTTAAAAGAAAAATCGAGGCCCAAATCTTTCACAAAACCACCCCCACCCCACGTGAAATGCTGTGCTTAGTCTAGAAGTGAAAAGCATTAAAAAAAAAAAAAAAAAAAAAAACCCTCAGTCCACTACAGCAAGGTGCTTCAATTGTGGCTCATTGTCCTGTTTTCCTTACGATAATAACTTAATTCTCTTATGTTCAACCTCTTACATTCACTTATTGGCATACTTTTTTGCTGGAATTCTTCCTTGAAGCCATGAATGCTACATTTATAGGTGTGGTTTTTGATAGCTAGTCTTTCTCCTTGCGATTTTTGCTTCAATGAACCCAAAGTCCATGACTAACACTGCTGGTGACTTTGCTTCTGAAGACTGGGGTGGCCACAGAATTACTCTACTACAGCTTAGCTCCAGGACCTTATGGAGAATTAATGTCTTCTATAAAGAAGAGTCAACATCAGTCATGCTTTCTATAATCAATCTCTTCCCTGCTTGTTCTGGATGATAGCCAACTGAACTTTGTCACTGCCCTAGAGTGCATGACCTCTCTGACCCTCTTATTTTTCTGTTATGGACGTGTGTTTACTATTTTCAAAATCAAATGGTCAATTTTCAGTTCTTTCTGTGGATCATTCTCAGAATCAAAATCTTGTGATGAGGTTAATAACTCTAAGGTTTTATCTTCTTGCAGTGTTCCTGCCACGCTTTTCACAGAAGTGACTTCACCATACAACAGTTTTTTCATGGATTCTCCTTCGCTTAAATTATAGTGTCATGGGGAGGTGCAAACAACTACAGTACATTAAAGCTAATATATTACCACCAGTCACTGGAACCTTCCCTTTGGTACTCTTTTTCCTAGCTGGTTTAAAACATTCAGTCCCAAGAGCCTGTGGTTGAGTAACAGGAAGTTCCATGATGTATTCCAAAGCTCTTCACATAGTACCTTGTGTAAACGGCCCATTTGAGTAGTTCAGAAACCTAATGGAAGAGAAAAAAACACTGACAACACTGAAAAGATTAACACCTGTTTCCAGTTTTCAAAGAAATTGAAGCATGCTATAGATATCCAGAGTAAAACCATTTACTCCCCCATGTTGGAACACTTTATTCAGATTTTCAGTTCTATATGCATAACATCTGCATGCTTATGGGTGTGTTTCATTACAGGATTCCACACACAACTTGGAAGACAGAGAAGTTATGAATGGTGTACAGACGGAACTACTCACATCGCCAAAAACTAAGGATGGATTGAGGTATTCCCTTTTTGCAACTAAGAATATTTTATTTATTTGAATTTGGTACTTGTTTCTTTAATGATTCGTAATTGTTCTTATTTTACAGGAAGTATCTTTTTTTTGCACTAAGATAAACTCATATTTTAATTCCATTTCTCTATGAACCTTTTGAAGTACTTTATACAGAAATGATCCTCAATCCTTTGAGTATTCTTCTGCAACAGGATTTCTTAATTACTTTTTCTTCTTTTTCAATAACAGTTTAGAGTGAACATTACAAAGTGTATTGTGATTGTGTGTTTAAATTTAACTCTAGCATTTTGAGTTCTCTTTTGCATTGTGTTTTTTTTTCTTTGAAAGAGAGAGAGAGATTTTTGGTATAGGGTGCATGTGCTCACCAGAGAGCAAGAGACAGAGATACAGAAAACAAGAAATCACACCTCAGGGGAGATGGTGCCACAATCCCTTCTCTGTTCCCCTCTTGGGATTTCGGGCATGCACTCACACACATCCAGCATGAGTTTCAAACCTTGGGTTCCAGGACCCACATCATGGTTGTGGCCAGCCATGTGGGAGTCCAGCAATGTAACTATTATGCCATCTGCTGGTCCCTTGATTGTGTTTTAACAGTTTTACAGTATCTTACTTGAAGTATTGGGTTGTCAGGAAAGTCATGACCTATTTTTGCATAGAAAAACAGAAAAATAGGTCATGACTTTTTCAACAACCTGACATACACTATGAATCCAGGTCATCCACTAGGATTTCTTTTTTTAATTTTTTACCATAAATCACACATGCTCTCCAGAGAGAGAAAGAAATCACTCCCCTGAGGATATGGCCATACCATAGTCCCTTCTCCTCCATTCTCCTTCCGAGACTTTGGGCACATGTGCATACTCACCCTGTGTGATTCTCAATCCTCCCAGGTCCAGGATCAACAAGTGGTTGGCCACATGGGAATTCAGTGCCTTGATACCATACCACCTACTGGCCCTAGATTTTTTTTTTTTTAATGAAAGTAATACATTAATTGAAGTCACTTGCTACCATATTTACCAGAACTTCTCTCTC